AAGAGCGTATCCCCGTGATCGATAAGACGGAGTTAACGTAAATGTCGATCATGAAGATTGACATCGATCGATAAGGGCACACGTCCAATTCGCAAGACAATGGGTGGTTTGGTACATCGAAATACGGCTTCATTAGGGGGGAGAGAGAGGGGGCCCACCAAAGAATCGTTGGAATACCCCACGGGATGCTGCGTGTGTGCTTGTCATTGTCCGATTCGATCCACTCGTGATATCGATCGAGATCCAACCGGCCCCCAACAAACTTTTGGAAGTCTCGATTCCACCAACTCGATCCAGCCCATCAATTCAACAAAACGCAGTAATTAATGAATTATTTAATTATCAATTAATCCTGAAAAATCCATTTTTTCCTCATAATTAATGAATAAATCTCAATTGATTATGACACTTGCACAATCCATCAATGAAATAAAATAATTGACTACACTAAAATAATAGGGTGATAATTAATGATGCCGAATTGGAATTGAAATGAAAGGCAATTGAATTTATTTCCACCAGTGTAACAAGAAATGAATAAAGATCCATAAACATCTTAATTTCGACAATATTTTGAATAATAATGATCAGTTATGGAGATTAATGGTGGAGTTTATCCATTAATAGTGGCATAAATTAATAAATTTCCACCCCAAAAATCCGATAAAATAGCCCGAGGGGTTAACACGACACAAGACAATTTAATTACCCAACATGCGATGAGTCACTTAAAAAAAACCACACCATAAATTCCCCCGTATACCACACGAACAAGACATAAAGCTCCGAATAGGGTTCTGGATCCCGTATCGTATTCAGAGTTTGTGTGTAAGTATTGAAACACGAGCATCAACACAGAATTTGTTGGAAGGGGGAGTGAAGGGGTTGCACATACAAAATAACCATCTTTATTCGATACGTATTACTCCTCAGCGTTAATTCACAGCCCCACGTGCTCATAATTCACCGACATTCCCCTCGTGTCCTCTTATCGCCCCCACCAACATTTTGTGCTTTATGTAGTTTTAGTAATGCCAGGGGATATTCCATTGGTATATGCTCGACTGTATATGTACATACCGTTGTATGATACGATGAGCTGCGAACGTGGCGTCCTGCTGGGATCACAGCACTCCCTCGTCTATCAGTGTGTGGTCGGTTCAATTTTTTTATTTATTTTTTTATTCATTTTTTTAGTCATTTTTTTTTCTTCTCTTCTCATTCCTTTTCATCGGGCGAATTATTCGCCCGCGCGACACGCTATATTTTCATCAAGTGCAGTACAGAAATTATTTTAATTTAATCAGCATGAGAGTAGCGTTGAAATAACATTGGAGAATCATGTCATGTCAATTGAACAATATGATTATTCGTTATTTTTGGTAATTAAAATATCCAGGTGCGCTTGCTCAAGCTGTAAATCTGTGTTATCGTTCGTTACGTCGATATGCGGAAGTACCGTGGAAGCACGGCACGTGTGAGCCTGCTAAGTAGAACTAAAAAGGTGGGTAATAGGTGTTTGCCGAGGTTGAAGGTGTTTACACTCATTAGAAAATGATTATGCGACTCGACTGGTCGGTGCGAGCGGTTGAACCCCCAAAAAATGACCAACGATTTATCATAATCCGGGCATAACGGGCCCAAAAACTTTCGCTGATCCCATCAAATTTTTTTCAAATCTCCCAGAGAAATAAATAATCCCTGAAAAAAAAAATAAAACCATCAGTGGAATGACGTCCGGTAGGCAAAAAATCCTCTTGCCCTGGAGCTCGCGAGTAAAATTATCCTCCTGTAAACACCTACCTAATTAAGATTGGAAACATTTTAACGTCTCACCGTCGGTGTTCCCAATAAAGTTGTTAACGTATGGGCCAGTTTAGTCTGGTCTTATGAGATCGTTCAATTAATATCGGCGGTTGGAGGGGGATGATGGCCACCGTGCGAAACTGTACTCGTGTCGTCTGTTCCTCCAAATAAAATAAAAAAAAAAAATATATATATAAAAATAAATTCACCACATATGTGCATACACGCATACATCAGGCTTTAAGTTGTTTCCTGCGTTAATGCCCAACAGCCTCTCGACTCACCATCTCCTCGAGCAATTCCTCCTTTCTGAATCTCAACTGCTCTCTCTCATGACGCTGTTTTCAAACTCCATATCTCCACCGCATACCGATCCATTCGCCTCATTCCAGTACTCCACACGCTCACTAATTTATTATAAAATTTACCTTTACCTCCATTTCACATGAGAATTACACCGCCATCACCTGAAAATCATTTCTCCTCTCTCCATCTCTTTTCATTTTCACTAAATTCTCATATACTCGCCGGAATGGTGTCTGCTATTTTCATATCACTATACCAAAATTGCATAAACATTTTATTAATGTTGTTATTTAATTTGCAGGTGATGTCATTAATTTTTCATTCGCGCATCCTCGAGCGCCGGAGGTTTAAGGGGATACGTTACCTTCTGGGTCAGACACTGCTTTTCTACTTTTTATCGCGTAATCTTTCACCCCAACCGATTTATCGTCGTCATATAATTAAATATCGGATTACCAGTAAAATCTATTCACCGGATCTGAGAAATTCTCACTGAATTAAAAAATGGAAACCCCCCGGTTTCACCGATTTATTGTCATTTTGCTGGTGCTGTTCAACAAGTTTGTAACATTAGGACATTGTACACGAGACGACAGTGTCAAAAGGCCTCAACAGACTCATACAATTAATCACGCTCGCATTTGTGGTTATTTCGTTTGTCCACGGGCACGCCCCGAGTGCACTGAGAACTCTCACAAGTACTATGTTACTTTTATTTTTTTACATTTTTTTTTCTGCTTCATTGTTCCGCATTTAATCGTTCTCAGAACAGGCTGATTGTTATAGTCGTGGGAGAGTTTCAGGGCGGTCTTCCTGACCCCCCTCCTCATCCTCCCCATCCTCCCCATCCTCCCCATCCTCCCCAACCTCCCCCTGTCCTGCTCTCTCCACCCCCAATTCGTCCTTTATCCTTCCATTACATACAAAAGTCATAATTTATTGTTTCCTTAATTGGCCCCGACATTGTTAAACAAAATGTTCTTTCCCCCAGCGAGAATAATTCCCGGAGGTGAGAAAAAATAACGTCCGAGGTGTTAAAAAAGTATCTAGACTCGCGGTTGAGAAAAATAAAAGATAAAGGGTTAAAATAAATAAAAATAAAATGAAAAAGGGATACATTTACCCCGATTGGCTGTAGCTCGGGACAAAATTACAGCTTTGTGAGGGCCCCGTGGATGTTGGTGGAGTAGACCACCCGCAGTTGAAACGTTGAACAGACCAATCTCCCTGGGTATGGACTAATCGCACGCCCCCATGGCCCCCGCGTGTCGGTGGGGTTAATTGAGGCACTGCGAGCCACTATATCTCCCACCTTCCAACTCCAACAATCTGCCCCCTTTCGACCTCCTTTTTACCATTTTATTTTTTATTTATTTTTTTGTTGTTTTTATAATCTCACTGTGTGGTGGCTCCTCGCCACCTTGGAAGAACCACCTCTCGCTCCAGAGTCCAGACCCTCCGGCAGGGGGGCGGAGGGGGCTATTAGAAGAGAAGGGGGCGACTGCTCTATTAGTCCCAAAACCACTTTCTTCGGATTTTTCTAGTTTTATTTTTCGTACCCCACGATCTCCAATCATCGTCAGCATTTTTTGTCTTGTATCAGAGTTATTAATAAATTCCAGGTAATTAATGGGATTTTTCGGGGGATTTTAGGCTGGTGAATCAAATGATAATGATGGGAGAATATCGGGGAAGATGGGAAATATATCAGTGGATTTACGATTTCTTCATTTCAACCGGAAATGATTGAGTCATGGCCGATCGGTTGAAGCCTATCTTCCATTCTTTTTATTTCACGAATTCTCTTTTTCGATCTTCCGCGTTCTTCTTTTCCTTGGGCTTTTCTCGTTTATGGCGTAGATGTGCGCAAGCGAAAAAGAATGGGGGACGAGGGGGGAAGGGGGAGATGGGAAAGATGGGAACGATGGGAGCGATGGGATAGACAGGGGAGGTTACAGAATCCTGAACGAGCATGCATTGAGCCTAGCGATAGGCGCACTCCTTGCGGGCTTTATGGTCACGCGAAATTCCTTGGCTTGTCGTAAAGCTATTTTATAGGATACCGTCGTCGAGGCCAGGACGTTGATGAAATTCCCGTTTTCGAATGCATTTGCAAATGTTTTGTGAGAACGATAATTGATGTTTCGATAGTTATCCATTAATCACCTCCTCAAACAAATCCTCTGTGATATCTCCATCAGGTGATATAACCATCATTGATGATTGTAATTGAATTTACAACAATTATTAAAAATTATTTATTTTTATGGTATTTCTGAAATCATGTAATTATTATTTTTTTTTTTTTGAGTGGAGTGAAGAGAGGATTTTTTAGGGTTTTTGTTTTATTCATTGGTATTGGTGTAATGAAGTATGTATTTTTATGGGAGAGGGGGACAAAGGAATTCTTGGGTTGAAATATTTAAAAAATGACTTGTTGACAACATTATTGGATAATTTAGGAAGGTTTCCTTTGAGAGTGTCAATTGGATGACGCCCATCATGGAGATGTATCACGGGTAAAACCCATAAAACCTCGGGATTTCATTCATCTCAGTTTTATTAACGTTGGATTTTTTTTTTCAGGCGCAAGTTGTGAAAGCCCAGAGATCCCCCAGACATTCAAATAAATTTATACGCTACCATATCTGAAATTGTAGTTTGTCATATAGGTAATAATGAGATTAGGACGGCGTGGAGAGATTCGGGAGATTTGGAGAAGGTGTCAAAAGGATTTTGTGGTTTATTCCATCGGTGATTCTCAAATTGGTTGGGAAATCTGACATTTATGGTAGAATGGAGGTGTATAATTCGAATTTTTCTGAAACCTATTTCATTTTATTAGTTTTTTTTTTTACGAAACGTACAAAGATTGTTTCAGTCTTATTTACATGATGAAAGAGTAGGGGAGTATTATCGAGATTAATATCCAAGTGTAAGAGAGTCAATTCACAATTGATTAATTTAAAATAATTTTTACATACATCTCACACACATTTTTTCATGGTCTCGAGATTAATTTCCTCTACGTTTTCGAGGGATCTAATTGGGAGATACGCGGAAAGCTTTTTCAGTCCGTCGACGGCAACTGAATAATAATAAACATTTTCTACCATTAAAATAGACAAGCACTCATCCATCGAAATTCACGATTGATTAACTTAAGCTCGAGTCTAACATAAATCAGTGAAAAAAAAAAATTCTAATCACTACGAATATTCAGATAATGATTATTGAATTAATGACGTAGGCTTAAATCACAAAGTAATGGCATCTCCGGCCCGAGAATAATATTATATTATTTATATCAGCCAAAATCGTTCAAGAATAAATTCGCCAGTAGGAAAAATTCCGTGAATTCCCTCAATCAATCATTCCAACTCAATTTAAGGGTTGAATTATTTTTAATTAATTTCCCCAACGTGTTTATTCGTCCTGGGTAAATGGAACTGAAATTTTCAAGAGAAAAAATTTTCATCCACGGGAATTTCCTGTTGACGAAAATAATTCAACGACAAGTGTTAACAGTCCTCTTGACATTGCACGTGTTGCAAGTGACTTCACAGCACCACTTGAACCTACACTGACAATTGACTTTTTCCTTAACGATTTTAGTGTCGTACCCTCTACCACAGCACAAAAGTTCACAACCCTCGACACCGGGACTTGTGGCATTGCACTGGCGCCCAAGTGTTCCAAGAGATCCAGTCTTTCTGTTAGCCCTGCAGAAGTCCGGTGAGTCCTCACTGTAAATCAGATCAAATCTCCCAGGTGGCTTGATGGTTGAACCCTCAGGGATGAAGTTGTGGCCATCGTTGCTGGGAATTACCTTGGCAGCTCCATCAAACGATTCCTTCAGACGATTACCTATTTCCCGGAATGACGGCATTTTTCGCCAGCATGTACGAACTGTGCAGGAACCAGAGAGGCCGTGACACTTGCACTCGGTTCTCATAAAATTTCTGACAGCCTGATTACCAGAATATATTTTTTATTGTCAAATAATTACTGATTTTTTGGGGATTTCCTAGGAATTTTATTGTTAAAAATCTCACCAGTCTTCCTGCATCGTTATTGTGCAATTTGACGAGTGTCTTGATGTCACTCCTCTTCCTGTAAGGGGCGTCCATGAAATCCCTGGACTTCCTGAATCCAAAATTCACGTTATCCCCGCAACCGCCCCACTCCCACTCCCCCTCGGTCGGTAAATCCTTGATCCTGGATTTGCGCGAGTGCTTTCCTAATTTGTGCCCTAACAGAGTCAACAGGATTCACTGTTAAAAATTTTCCCCACAAATTTCCCCGAAAAAATTCATCAACCTGACTATCAATTTTTTTATCCAGTCTATGTAATTTTTTTATTTGAAATTGATTAATAGCGCGGATAAAGAGTAATAAAATAGTGTGATGCCTGACCTCTGGAGTTCATTTTCTCGCAGGAGCACTCGACAAGATCTCCCATGGTGCATGCCCTGGTGACGGCGTAGGTGACACCAGCAGCTGTGATGGCATTGAGAAAGCCAGTTTCCCTGGTATCTGCAACAAGGATTAGGATAAAAATTCCTAGAGCCAGGAAACAGCTAGGGAAAAGTTTTTTCTCAGGAAAACTCTCACGGAAATCTTTATCACCACCTGATCTTCACGGTAGCTTACGTCGACGTTCTTCGACCTACCAGGACACGCGCCTAAGCCGATAGCACTAATTACGCCTCAACATTTCCACCAGTTTGTCATGAACAACGAGATGTCAATTCCCGTAAAAAAATCCAGCGATTAAAATAATGGGATTTAAAAAAAATTCTCCAATTTTCGAGGTAAGTTTACCGAAATTTCGCGGAGACATTTCCTCGCCCGTTCCTGAATCAAACGATTTAAAAAAGCCACGGGCAATTTGCCGGTATCTCAGCTGACTATCGCCTCAGAAAATAGTAGCTCATGCCAGGTTGTTTGGTTTAATGGCACCGAGATTAATGGTGAAGTGTATGTGAAGAGCGATTGGAACCGAAGTACAGCTAGTCTAAAACCGAGGGAGCGACGATAAAAGATGAATCCGCTATCCCGGTTATATCCATCGGCACCCAACTCCAAACTCGATATTGGCCACTTTATCTCGAAGAAAATGCACGCAACTGCCTCACAATCATCTCGAGTTATTTATGAATGGAGTTTATTTAACCGATATTCTATTTATCCAGCGATCGAGTCATTAAAAATAATCAGTGGCCAGCTAAAAAGCTGTCTGGCCGTTTCATCAGATGGTAATTAGGGGAATTAATAAATTTCTTTGGGCAGTTAATAGGTGTTCTATATTTCTTTGAGCCAAAGGGGGAGTATATCAGAGTCATTCAAGGCCTTGGGAAGAATTGTGAATCCCACAGTGATGCTGGATGGGAGAGACGTCGTCTCCGAGAGGCCTTCGGCGTGTCGTATATTGGGTTTCACCTGTCACGTTTCCACTCCATCATTAGCCGAACAATGCCCAGTTCCTAAACCCTTTTTTCAAAATATATATGTGCTGCACCAGATTACACTGCTATGTACCGCTTCACCTCGGTGTCTTCATTTTTCAATTCTCGTTTCATTTTTTTTTTACCCTCTCGGCCACTCCTTTGCATCCGGGCTTTGCAAATCAACATTTTTTATTCAATTCATTTCAACCAACCATTTCCATTTTTTATCTCTCACTCCTTCAATCGAGAACCGTTATAAAATATTAATTATTGTTAAATAAATGTTGAGTTATTTTTTGGTGGGGATGAATTGAGTTATTGAGGGTTATTTTGGATAGAATTTTTACCGTCAATTTCTCACATCACTGCGAGATTGGGATGAAAATATTGAAAATTCTGATAGAATTGCGATAAATCCCACCCCTCGGTAAAACATGGGCGCGTGTCAGTACGCACCTCGTTAAAACGGCAAAAGAGAGGAGACACTGTCGGTCTCCCCGCACCTCAAACCCAGGAGGTGGGGCATCAAGTAGTATCAACATTTCGATCAATGGAATTAACTCATAACCCGGAATGCCACTCCAATTACGGGTATAAAGTCTACCCGTGTGTGTTGGATACGCACTTGGGAGTGAAATCCATCAGTATGCAGTTTGAAATTTTCCACAAGCTTTTTTTTCATCTTAAAATCGGAATATCTCTGTACTGGATTATGTATTCTTGGGGTATCGGGCTGGGGCTATCGTACACCGCGATCAAGGAATCGCTGGATTTTATGCCAATTCCATGCGCAATTACGTTTAACCGCGACTCCCTCAGCCCGTTTCACCTTTTAATGCGTAACGAGCGTATTTATTGACAGATGATAGTGTCAAAAAATTCCTCAACCCCCTGCCGCCACCCCCTTCAAAACCATAAAGAAATAATCACCAAAAACCGACACTCTGGAGTGCAAATGAAATTGAATGAGAGCCTCGTAAAAATGTAGTCAACAGTCCATGAAATATCAATTCCTCTCAACCAGTAATTTCCTCTTGAATTCGTCTGCAAATCATGAAAATACCTTGAACCCGATGAAAACAGCGATACCCCATGTTGAACAATCAAAGAATAGTGTCAAGTCCGTATCTCCAGGTGCGCGCACGCTACCCTTTCATGAAAAAAAAAAGCCAAAAAGGTAGAAAAAAAAAAAGTAAAAATAAAAACATGGGGAGATAACAGCGAGTAAAGGGTTAAAATGAAGAAGATTGGTTCAGTGTGTATTGGGTTTATACGAAACGCGTTAAGCCTGCGTTTTCCCCGGGTTCCCATGGGATTCCAAGCGTCCGGTGGATATCTTTGGCGCGGATCGACGGCCGACGAACCGACGGACCGTGGGCTGCCACCGCCCGCGTATCTCCTGATGCATCGCCTCACCTTTCAGTGCGTATTTAAACGATACGATAGTTTTATACGAGCGATCTGATATCGAGTTCGAAGCGAAGGGCCCCGAAGGGGAGGCCTCTCACTGGTACCGCTCTCCCCAGCTCTCTCTTTCCCTCTGGGCCTCACCAGTCAGATCCCCTTCTCCAACTTCTTTAAACATGACGGAAGCCCTCCCTCCATCATTTAACCCATTTCAACCTTTTTTCTTTTTTTTTTTTTATTTTATCTTACCCCTCACCCTTATCGATAAGACTCGTCACTCAGACATCCCATCTCCGCATAAATTTGTTTTGCGCGTGGCACTGGGTAATCAATCAGTATTACTCCCGGTGATGATGGGGTATTCATTTTCATTCATCATTATTTCAATAACTGGAATGCATATTTATTCTCCATACATTGTTACACATTTTATTTATCAAACATGAAAAAAAAAAATTTGCAATTAACAGAATAATTCGAGAGAAAAAATTGCGCAGAGTAATGATAAAATCATTGGAAAATATTGTGGTCAATTAGGATTTAAATCCCTCAGAATGAAAGTTTTTACTTGAATTTCAGTCTTATAGTGTCTCGGGCACTTCTCTCGGAAAATGTCTCTCCCCCCTCGGTGCATTAACTGTTTGACGCTGGTAGAATGCACTTGAAATATTCCCACTCCTCTCGGTGGTTTTTATCTCCCGGTGGAGTGAGTCCTGGGTTATAGCTGGGTGATATAAATCACTTTGGATCAATTAGACACGAGGGATCGGCCTGGGCCGATGATCTTGCTGGTGCCAGGGTCCTTGCCAGGTGCGCTGGCCACAGTATGTATTCCCTACCCCCTCCTCATTTTCGCTTTTTTTTCTCTCTCATTTTTATTTATTTTTTTCGTCGTCTTTTATATACCCCCATGAGGTATATACAAGAAAACCTTCGCCACGATGTGCTCGGCCAATTATCAGCATTCCGTGGCATTATCCGCCACAGCTAAACTTACGCGCTCTTTAACTCGCCATCTTTACCCCCACCACTGGCTTTCTTAATCTCTTCGTTTCCTTCCCCCCCGTTCTTCCATTATTATTTTTTTCCTTTCATTCCGGCTTTTAATTGATTGAAGAAACCAATTTTCAGACATTCACCAAACGGTAACAAATGACCGGACAAATATGTCAGTTGCGCCATTGAAGTACTGGAGAATTACTCCAAGGCATTTACCATTGAATCTCTTTAATTCAGGATGTGATTACATTTATCCCCTGAATTTTTCTATTTGTTCTTCACCTCCGTTCGCGGATTTTGATATTAAAAAAAATTTACAAATTCAACAAATCAGATATGAAATGTTAAACAGTAGCTAGTTGGTAGAGATAATTTGTCCATAAATCACTTAGCAGTGTGATTAATCGATTCAGACGTATTATGTAAGCAAGTTGGATAATTGTGGGCAATGCATCAGAGTCGGGTCCCATTGTAGGTTATATACGCCTTAACAACTTGCAATGTATTTGCAAAAGAGAGACACAACATTAGATTCCTATCCCAGCTAATGTATTTGTGTTTAGGTTACAGTACTGGTTGCACTTGGTCACCAGCAATGGGTGATTTGTTATCCGATCCCCGGGATTTATCTCTCACCGGTCTTTGTTGATTCCAAACGTGCGTAATAGAACGGCTAAATCCTCTATTTCAATCGTATCCTTTTTTTAACCATCGTATTTGTCTTTTTAATTCTACACAATCGATTCGACTGACAACAAGTCCAAGGGACATTTATCTCGAAGACCGCTGACACCCGCACATCACCCATAAACAGGTGAATCATTCCCCCATCGTGTGTTTACCCAATCTCGATTGATTGACAAATACCAATCCTGAATTAATCGCCAATTCTTTCAAACCACTATACTCTTTACCCCAAACCCTGATGTCTTATTGCCTGAATCACTGTCACCGAGTTTATCCAACATTTCGTCATTCTCGCAATTCTCCCCATTCTCTCCATTATGCGCAACATTAATGCAACATTATTAATGATTACTAACGATTCACATTAATTCTCTCATTTCTTCATCATTACGAAACAAGTGTACAATAACATAAGGACAACGAGACACAGAGTGTGTGATTGGTGTAATTTAAAATGAAAGAAATGTAATGGTAAAATATTATTGCATTGAGATAATTTTAGTGAAAAATGTGCGAATCTAAATGGATAAAAAAACTTGGAGTCGGCATTTGTTGGATACTCTGGTTCTCTCGCGAAGATTCCACGAAGGAGAAAATACTCCCCGCGTGAGAATAACGAGGGTAAAAGACAGACGAGTCGGTTTAAGGGAGATGAGGAAGGCCGTGGTCAGCGAGAGGTGGAACATAAAGAGAGAAAGACTCCTCCCTTTGGTAAAGGGGAAGGAAAAGAGGGATAAAAAGGGATAAAAGGGGGATAAAACAGGGTGGAGGGGAGGTAGACGAGAGAAGAGAGAAGAGAGAAGACGCAGGGCGATCGCAAAGAGACGCGGCGTATAAATCTCGACGGCTACCCGTAAATAACTCCAGGGAATATTCAATGAGAATCGGTGGAGAGAGAGTGCAAGGAGGAATAGTGAGCCAAATGAGACGAAAGAGAGAGAGACGATTGGGATTATGCCTCACCATCCCGTGAACCCAACTTGCTTTGGCATT